GTCAAGGATGGACTTAAAGAGTCTGGTATATCTGTGGAACGAGTGAGAGAGTCTGTGAAGTGGGTTAAATCTACACCAAGTAGGAGCAGAAAATTCAAAGATTGCATTGAGTTGGAAAAGATAGTGTCGAAGAAATTTGTTTCGTTGGATGTAGCTACAAGGTGGAACTCAACGTATCTGATTTTGGAATCTGCAAAGCCATTTTAGAAAGCATTTCAGACGTTAGCCAAAAATGAGAAAAAATTCAAGAAACATCTCAATGAAAAAAAATATGGAAAGAAAAGCCTTGGTATCCCAACTTCTGATGATTGGTCTAGTGTAGGACGTTTGATTGATTACCTGAAGCTCTTCTATGATTTGACTGTTCGAGTTTCTGGGACTTCATATGTGACTTTACACCTCTTGTTTGATGAGATATGTGAAATGTATACTATGATTTCCAAGTGGGTTGATAGTACAGATTTTGAGGAAGTGTTGCATGGCTGAGAGAATCAAGTCCAAACTTGCCAAGTATTGGATTGAAGAAGAGTTGGAGAATTCCAAGATGAATCGATTGTGTTATATGGCAGTCATATTAGATCTTAGCCGGAAAGTTGAATATCTTGAATAAGTTTTGAAGAAGGTATATGGTGAGAGCAAGGGCAAAGCTTTGGTCGAAGAGGTGAAAGATGAAATGTGTCTTCTGTTTAACCATTACAAGCATAAGCTTGGACTTCATGGTAGTTCTCCTATTGTGATTCAAGAAGATGAGCAAGAACCTAGTGGAAGTGGGGATAGGAAGAAGAAAGGGAATATTTGGGGTGATTTTAGGAAAATGAAAAGAGAGGTCATTCTGAAAGGAACTAAAAAAAGTTCCAAATCTGAGTTTGTTAGGTACCTTGAAGAGGAAGAGGATGATGAGGAGGTTACACGAGCAGTGGTGGGTTAAGAAGAGGATGAGTACAAGTTTGACATCTTGGGATGGTGGTCGCGAAGTGTGATGAAATATCCTACTATTTCTGAGATGGCTTGGGATTTTCTTGTTGTTCCTATTTCCACTGTTGCTTCTGAGTCGGCATTCAGCACAGGAGGTCGAGTTTTAGATTCGTTTAGGACGTCCTTATCCCCTGAAGTTTTGGAAGCTTTGATTTGCTGTGAAGATTGGATAAGATCTTCCGACTCTGAGTTGGTGGCTGATGGAAAAGATGAGGGTGATGAAGTGGTATTTCAAAATGGTAAGGACTTAATCTTCCTCTTTCTCTTTCTCTTTCTCTTTATTCTTATATTTGTTATCTTAATCAAGTCAAATTCTAACAACTTGTTATTGTTTGTGTTATCCAGTATTTGTAGCTTTTCAAACTCGGAGTGCAAGTGCACCTCCAGGACCTAGTAGAAGCTCTCATTCTACCCATGGTTTGATCCCGAGTCCTACTGGGTCAGAAGTGGAAAAAGACTATTTCGATGACGCTTCTTATGGGAATGGTGAAAATTATGCCGATGTAGAGCCTGATGAGGAGGAGTGATAATGGTAGTAGTGTTTATCTTGTTTATGGTGGATGAACTTTGATTTTAGTTGGATAGTTGGATGTTATCATTTTAGAATTGTAAAACTAATGTGTTTAATTATGAGTTGATGATAATCCCATCTATGATTGTCAGCGATTTTATGTTGAAAAAAATTATTGTCTTATCAATATTATATCACAAAATTATTTATGTTACGCACCATACACCAAAATTATTTAAGAAAATGGTAACCCTCACATATTTAATTTTAATTTAAATTTTAAAAAATTTATAATTATTGTGATAGTTGATATACCGCCAATTTTTTAATTATAAATTAATTAATATATTAAAATATTAGTTAAATTAACAAGTTAATTCATTACATACAAATATTAAACGTATTATACAGATTTTTCTATACGTACGATTCACCACCACACATAATTACATTCAAATGGAATTGAAAAAATCCACACAGTCACACTACACACACTTTTAGAATTTGAGGTAAAGAATAAAAGTAGCACGTTAAAAAAATGAACAGATAGAGGTGCATTTTCGGGTTTCGGGTTCTTGTACCCAATGTAGTTAAAAGCGAGTTTCTACGTAGAAACATTTTGGTGATCTAGAAGCGTAAAATCGTAAGTTTTTAAGTTTTAAAGCGGAGTTTTTAACTACATAAGTTATAAAAACTGAGATTTTGTGTAGAAACGTTTTAGTAACCTAGAAACGTAAAATCGTAAGTTTTTAAGTTTTAAAACGTGATTTTGACTACATTGCTTGTACCCACCCGAACCCAATAAGTAGATTTTTGGGTTTCAGTTATCCGAAAATCGAAAGTTTCCTTATCGGGTTCGGGTTTAGGCAATTCGGATTTCAGTTCTCGGGTTCAGCAGTTTTCGGTTTCGGGTTACCCGAACCGAACCGACAGGCCTAAGTAGGAGCAAAGGGAAGAGGGGATGGGAGCATTCGTGTCTAAATTTTGGGTTGTTTCCTGCAAAGTAGTACAAGACTGTTGTTTTGGGTTTCACGGAGGTGGAGGATTCTGCTGCGGCATCACCCAATTATTTCGGCCCAAACCACACAACTCAGGGATACTAGAGAGGGACAGAAGAGCTATGTCTCACCGTCGGCCGTCGCCATGGCCACCGCTACCACGGCGAAGGCTGCTGCCGAGGCCGCTAAAGCCACCATCGAGCCGACGAAGAATGCAGAGGAATCACAAGGGTCACAAGGCCCGACTACCTTTGTTTTGTGATTCCTTTAACGATTTGCGGATCCATTGGTTGTGATCGTGCAAGAGAGAGATGTGAAAAGGGAGGAAGAGGATATTCTGGTGGAGGTGGTTATTTTTTCTTCATCGGTTGGGTCTGGTAGGGTTAAGGTTTGGGTTGGATCTGATGACGTGGCAGGTTTGATGACATAGTGGGTCAGGTTTGGTGATGTAGCGGGTTAAATGAACTGACTCGGTACTTCTGTTAGCCACGTCAACAAATGATTGACTGTGTTAACTGGAGACTGACGGAGACTAAAGGAGAATGACCATGCATGAATTGTTTTACTAATTTAAGTGACCAACATTGGAATCAATTTTTAGTGACTAAACATAACACTTTTTAGTAAACTCAGTTTCCAAACTTACAATTTACCTATTTTGTGATTATTTTTTTCAAATAATATGTGAGAATGGATCAATCCACCATGCCTCATGCCCGCGCATATAATACCCAACCTTATCACGCTTAGTGCAGGTATGGGGTATTGAGGCATTGAGCTACATCCTCTCTTGTTTGAGATGGGATACGGTGACAACCCCCTTAAGGGGTTGTGAGTTTGACAACCCCACTCCTCATCATTGGGTATGCCCTCTCTCCTGTCTCATTCTTCTTTTTTTCAAATTGATGGTTAAGATTAAACGAAGGGTATTTTTAGAATGGAAAAGATCTACCACACACAATCATTTACACTCCCATTTAAATTAAAAACAAAACCCTAACTCCTCCCACCCCCTCTCCCCCTCCTCCCTCTCTCACGCAGCCATCCTCCACCGCAGCAGTCCTCCACCGCCACAACCCTCCACCGCTGCCGCATCCTCCATCGCAGCAGCCCTCTAACAACGCCATCTCCGCAATCCTCAGTTTCCCTCCACCCCCATGTCGTCACAACGTCCCATTCGACCACCGCAGCGCAATCATCCTCTCCTCGTCGGAGCCCTCTCGCCACCCTTCGTCTCCCACCACTATCGCCGTCGCGAGGTCACCCTCTTCCCCTACTTCTCTCTCTCGTCACCGACTCCCCTTTTCTAGATCTTGTTTTTTAGTGGTACCATTTTTCTTCTGGTAGCGTACCAGTAATAGTGGTACCTACCATACCATCAGGTAGCTGGTAGTGGTAGCGTACCACTACCATATGTTTTTTTGTGTTATTCTCTACTAGTACCACTACCAATTCTAGTCATACACTACCAGTGCTAGTGGTACGATACAATATGTTAGTGGTAGCGCTGTACTGGTAGCGTACCACTAGCACTGGTACATTTTTTAACGCACTGGTAGCGTATCACTAGCATTGGTATATTAATTACCAGTAGACTAATGGATTGGTACACTTTTTAACGCATTAGTACATTTTTTCAGGTTGTCGGAGGGAGTCTGCCGGAGAGAATTCGCCGAAGAAAAAGTCTGTCCGTCGATGCGGAGTGGCCGCTGGAGAAAGGAAGAGACAGATAGATAGAGATATTAATGTATAGAATTTAAATTTCAAAAAAATTATATTTAATATGAATTTTAAATTCTCAATATAATTAATACAAAAAAAATAATTAATATATTCTTTTTTTTTCATACCCAAAATACCCTTGGTTGTTACCGTATCCCGTCCCCTCTTGTTTGCCATCCCTACTATATGAGTTAAGTAGGATTTGCTCTACTAACACTCATTGGCTATTTTACTGAATTTTTGTATGAGTGAACCCTAATCTCAGCTAATTCATCCCCGTCTCCCTACATACACATCATGTATTTGTCATGAGTTTAAACTACGTTCAGTCTCCTCGTCATACTAGATGTGATTCAACTACTGCTCTACATAGTCTTTCTGTCAGAAAGATTGCATCCAACTGTGTTGGTTTCCACTACAATGAGCACATATTATAGATTGGAAAAAACGATAACCTATGCAAGTTTCCACAGAGCACGATAGATAATTAAGTGACCACTAGCAATATATTGGTGGTTCTATGGCTGCTTCAACACAACCCCATATTAGAAATATATTCAGTAAATTAGGTTGCTCAAGCATAAAAGATGCAACCCCACTACGTATTGGATTACCCATCTTTCAAGTTTAGTGCAGAAAGGTGATTGGTCTCAAGGAATTTCCGACTTCTATAAATTAGCCAAGCAATTCAAACAAGAATTCTCACCTCACCTTGCAAATCAAAGTGATTAGCCTTGAAAATAGTCATACATAGCCAAGGTTTAAGATTTTAGGTAGTATAGCATATGGCAATGATGAGTGCTTACCGTTTCCTTCTCTCTGCCTTTACACTTCTTCTGCCTTTAGCTTCCTCCCCTGCCTCTGCATACGATCCTAGCCCTCTCCAGGACTTCTGTGTAGCAATAAATGAACCCGGCAATGGAGGTATAGATATATATACCTTTCTTCCAAGTTTCATGGTGCCTAGTTTTGTGCTCTAGTAACTAACAAATCATTACTAATGTTGTGTATCTTCCCCAATCCAGTGTTTGTCAACGGGAAGTTCTGCAAGGACCCAAAGCTGGCTGCAGCAAACGATTTCTCATTCTCAGGGCTAAACATCCCTAGAAGCACGGCGAACAGAGTTGGGTCAAATGTCACTCTACTGAATGCTGACCAAATTCCGGGACTCAACACGATGGGCATTTCTATGGCCCGCATTGATTATGCACCAAATGGTGGCTTAAACCCACCTCACACTCACCCTCGAGCCACTGAGATTCTGCTTGTCCTTGAGGGAACACTTGCTGTGGGGTTTGTCACTTCTAACCCTGATAATCGGCTCATCACCAAAGTCTTGTACCCTGGAGACGTCTTTGTGTTCCCAATTGGCCTCATTCACTTCCAGGTCAACATTGGCCAGGCTAGTGCAGTTGCTGTTGCAGGTTTGAGCAGCCAGAACCCAGGAGCTATCACCATAGCAAACGCTGTGTTCGGATCTAACCCTCCCATTAATCCTGATGTTCTGGCAAAGGCCTTCCAACTGGACAAGAATATAGTCTATTATCTCCAGAAACAGTTTGGAGGGAGCGTTGGGCAGGGTCCATGGGACGACATGCCCTGAGAGAGAAAAAGGCGAAGAACCAAAGCTATCTTTAAGTTAGAAATGCAATATAATAATGGGCAGAAGTGCAATAAAAATGCCAAGACTGCTTCATCTTATCTTTCTTGTAAACTGAAACAACTATCAGTTAATAAATAAAGTGAGGAACATGGTTTTCTAAGAACTGAATAAGCGAATTTGTATCCTACAACTGCTGGAGTTTGGTAGGAACTGCCACTCTTGCAAGTGAAATAGAAACAAGGATTAAAGAGTCATAGTTGGAACATGGAAAAGAGAGAGGTGACCAGAACCTTTGCATTGTAGCTTTTGTAATGCTATATTTTAAAAGCAGCTTTTTGTAATTCTCTCAAACTATTATCACTGTAAATTTCAAATAATAAATCACCAGAAGAACTTCTCTATGAGAGGTGGCCATTTCCACACAACTTTCACCTTCTTTGCATTGCCTTCCTTGTCTGCCTCGGCTGATGACTTCAATCCACAGGGGGAGTTCTGCGATGCAATAAGCATCCCAATCGCAATGGAGCATGTAAATCCGGATCTCTCTAATACTTACCAATTTCTAAGAAACCTGCAAAAATCTTCTTGTCTATCTGTCTATGGCAGCCACACCTGATGAATAATAACAACTCTGTTTATTATTTCCTGCAGATTTTGCCAATGGGGAACTCTGCAAAAATTGAGCAGGTGCCACAGCAGAAGATTTCTATTGCTCAAGACTGGATGTTGCCAGAAAGACTGACAACAAAGTAGGATCAACCATGATCCTTTTATCCACTAACCAGATTCCAGGACTTAATGGTTTGTCACTGGCAAGAACAGACTATGCACCAAATGGGGGCTTAAACCCACCACACATACATCCTCATGCTACAGAAGTCCTGACACTCCTGAGAGGCATCCTCCATGTCGGCTTTATCACTTCAAGTCCTGAAAATCGTCGTATTACCAAGACACTATAACCAGGAGATGTCTTAGTCTTCCCGATTGGTCTCATACACTACCAGCTTAATACTGTCAATACTAATTACCGTAGCAAATGCTATCTTTGGGTCTCATCTTCCAAATAATCCTGAAATCCTTGCCAAGGCATTCCAGCGGATATTCATACTATCAACTTTCTCCAACAGAGATTTTAGGGCAACCACTAGTTGCAGAAGCTATGTTCACAGTAACCATTTCTTCGCATGTCTATGGTGAACTTTATGATGAAATAAATAAAAGGTTGCTTACCGATGATTCTATTGATTGAGACCTAATTCTTCACAATCATCAACTTACATTTGTGACCCTGCTTGCCACATGCAGCAATCAGACCGTCGAAAGAGACACTTCCAACTGTTCTATCCTCTTAGCCAGATCATGCTTTCCACAGTTCTTTAATCCATCAGCAACCAAATCGAAACATCTGGAAATAGGAGTCAAACCGATCTCAGTCATCTCTAGTAAATAATTGGCTGCCTCCAAATGCCTACCACCACGCCCGCACATGGTTATCAACATTGTATAGACCGGTCTATTCGGAGAGTGACCTTTAACCTTCATCTCACCAAAGAAACAAAATGCATCATCAAATTTCCCTATCCTGCAAAGTCCCTTAATTATTGGTGCATACAGACTGGGAAATGGCTTGTGCCCTTCTTCGATAGACCTATGCAATAGCTGAAAAGCTTCATTCATCTTACCAACCTTCGAAACTGCAGGAATCAAAATCTTATAGCTATTTATATCAGGACAAAATCCTAACTTGCATACACCATGATACATTTCAATGCAAAAATCAACCTCCCCTGATTGACAAATTGCTTCAACCAAAGAATTAAAAGTATTAACATCAGGAACAAAACTCTCTTCATTCATCTTCTTAACCATATCCTTTGCAGTCTCCAAATACCCTGCATTCAACAAACCTTCAATCAACAAATCCCTCCCTCTAACAGGAGGGTTAAATCCCTTCTGACTCATCTCATCCAAAAACTCCTGAGCCTCTTTAAATTTCCCACTAGAGCACCACCCATTGACAAGAACAGCGTAGGTCCGCTTGTTAGGAACCAAACCCTTTCTAACCATCCTCCTAATCAAAGCATAAGCTGCATGAAACATCTTGACTTCACATAAGGCAACAAGTAAGGAGTTGTAAACCTCAACCCCTTGATCACAATTCAAGCTATCGCACTTATTGAACACTTCAACTGCCTGGTCTGCGAGCCCACCTTTGCCGTACTCCTCGATAATAAAGCAGACAGTCTCAGCAGAAACGCAAAAAGCTCTCTCGTGTTCAGGGGTATTAACCATCCGTCGGCTCTGGTTTCTCATTTGTGTTATGAGTCGCCACATAGAAGCATACCTCTTGCCACGAGCGAGGGTTTTGATGAGCTCCTCGACCTCGATGGAGGTCGGGGTGTAGTGCCCTCTGGCCCAGGTGAAGAAGCGGATCGATTCCGTCGGGGAATTGGAGAGGGCACGGAGGACGCGGAAGACGAGCTCGGAGGTGACAGGGAGATTGAGCTTGTTGAGGGTACGCTCCGGGTAAATGTCGCGGCGGACTATGTTGGTTATCTGGTGGATTGCGGCGAAGTAGGCATCCTTGTTGGGTACTCCGGCAACTGGGGTCATGGTTAGTGAGTTGAAGCGGCGGCAGGGGGAGCAGGTGGCGACGGCGGGGGTTGCTCTGTACAACAGCCCTGCGATAGAGCGGAGCATTTTCAGTTTGGCAGGAACTAGAAGTACGATTTCAGTTCACAATTCACAATTCACCATTCACAATTCACAAATTCACAATTCATATATATACAATAACAATGGTTGGGTAAAATAAGGTTGTCGAAACGCGAGAAAAACGGTTCCACGCACTGGTCGGGTTGATCGCTATAAGGTACTGGATTGGAGGTCAAATTGTGTCATTTTTTCTTTGGTTTGCGAAATGCGCTTATTTTCCGATTTTTCTTTTCGCCTAACTCAATCTTTGGAATCCTAAGTTGAACATTTGAATATATATGTTATATAAGTGTGTGTAAATTTTCACTATATGTTGGATCTAAGTACGACATGTTATTTTGGTGGAATATTATATGTTATAACTCATATGTTAGATTAGATTTTATATAATTTATCAGGATAAGTACAATATAATGACTCTTTCTATATTTCCGGGCTAAAACGTGTGACCCATTAATCCTTGACCCACTAGCTCCATCGGGTCCGAGTCAACCCACAGGTTGACAACCTTGGGTAAAATACACCCGACTTGAGGGTTCTACTTGGTGAAACTGAAACTGAAACCATACCACTTAATTGAGTTGGATACCACTTAAGTAAAGTACAATTTAAATGCTTTCATTAAATGTCACATTTGGTCACTGAGATTACTAAATCGTGTCATGTTTAGTCATTAGAAAAATTTAATATCAATTTTGGTCACTCGAATTACTGAAACATGTGACATTTAGTCACATTTTCTCCCGTTAGAGTGACTAAATGTGACATGTTTCAGTAATTCGAGTGACTAAATTTCACATGTTTCAGTAATTCGAGTGACTGGAGTTGGACGGAGGTCGGAGGCTAAAGAGAGAGTGACTAAATGTGACCTGTTTCAGTTATTCGAGTGACCAAAATTGATATTAAATTTTTCTATTGCCTAAACATAATACGATTTAGTAATCTTAGTGACCAAATGTGGCATTTACCCTCCAAATTTGCATCTAAATACTAACGATAGAAATTAATCATTAATAATTTACCAAATCAGCATGCCACATAAGCTAGGAGAGTATTCTTTCTTTTTTGACACATCACCCTAGTTGTCCCACTCTCTAAACGAGAATTTCTTCAATGCATCGGGTGTATGTTAACCGTGCACCGTCCCAATAGAAGATCTAAATAGTTAAAGGTCGCCCTAAAGTTGCTAACGGTCACCCTAACTTTAATATGTAAATTACGTATATACCTCTAATTGAATGTCAAATTTTGCTCATACCACTCACTCACCAACCCTTCCTTCTTCCTTTCTCAAACCAGCAACCATCGGCTTCTTCTTCCTCCCCCTTTGCAACCGTCGGTGACACACCTCCCCCTCCATTCCACGCATCACCGGCAATTCCTTCCGCCTCCAACCAGAGCCGGCTCCTTTCCGCCAGGCCTTCTTCCAATATCTCTCATGGCGTACTAGTTCGCCGACAACTAAACCTCTCGGCACACCAATCCCACCGTCGTCGCCGACCGCTCTCTCCCGTCACCACACCCGCTCGCTCTCCGACCCGCTCACCACTCGTCCTCGGAGAAGAAGGTTACACTGGGATTCCTCGGCCACAGTAAAAGCGCGGTTGGTCCGGCAGTCAACGCACAGTTGGTCCGATGACCGACCGCGATCAAAGGGCGGTTGACCGACTACCGTCAAACCACAGTTTGACACGGTTGGTTATATTTTTTAAATTTTAATATTCTGTAATTTAATTAATTATTTAATTATATGATAAATTTTGTAACCTAATAAGTTATTTACTTATATCCAAATTAGATATTATACTTAATAATAATATAATTTAATCATATAATATTTTCTATTATGATATAAAATTATTAAATAAATGTTAATTATGATAAAAAAAATTATCAAAAATTATCAAAATAAAATTTTTATTTTAAATTAATTTTTTGTGTACTTAATTTTTAATTTAGTTAATTAATTAATTTTTAAGTAACCTTTTTAACTTAGTTAATTAATTACGTACATGCAAATTATGATAACTAAATTACCAGAAATTAGGAAAACTTATCAAATAAATGTAAATAATGACCAAAATTTTTAAAAAAAATTACGTAAATGTTAAAAATATTGGTTTTATTATTTTATTTATCAAAATCTTAAATTAATTATTTATGTACTTAATTATTAATAACTGTAACTTTTTTTAGGATGTATGGATATGGAATGGGTAAACCTGAAATGAATAAGCCAAGGAATAAGGAGAAAATAGAAGGTCTTATGTGTAGACTTACGG